TCTCTGAGTGAGTGTTTTGACTTGCCACATCAAACAACGATGTCAAATACTGAATATCCTATCATTCATTTAGACAAAAGTAGATCAGAAAATAGGGCCCAGGTTGAAAAAAACATTAGTTCCCCTTTAAGATGGAGACCATGGAAAACAAACCTGCTTAACACTGGCATGTTAGCATTGTCAGGGTGAGGATGTTAGCTTGCCGATGTTAGCATTTAGCTCAAAGCACCACTCTACCTAAATACAGCCTCACACAGCTGCTACCAAGGCTGTAGACTTTTAGTCTTGCGAAACCTTTCCCACCAGACAAAAAAAATTGTTGCCTGCTAAAAGTTATTTTGTATTTAATGGGAAATGTTACAATTGGCATTCACTCCTGGAACAAATGACTCTGATTGTCTTTGATCGGCAGTGATTGAAATACAACATCCGGGTGGACACGCTAAGTTTAGCCCTTTTACTGGAGCAATACAGTGACAGACAGCCACAAAATACCATTTATCTCAATCCGAGCAGCGCTTGAACGTCGTTCAAAATTTTTTGGCACTGAGTTTGAGAGACTGAATAAGTAAGAGACCAATGTTACATTTCCACTGGCCTCCATGCTGCTTTCTTCTGTTTACTAACCTGTTTGACGGCTCATCTGTGACATTGAATGTGACACAACAGACAAACATACAAACAAAAACAGAAAGGCATGCTCATCTGCTGCAGAGCCAGGTAAGCAGCTTTGGTCTCCTTGCAATGGGAAAGCAGTCTAGCGTCTATTTTTATCTTGCAAAGATTTTAGTATCAATATGTCTAAAAATGAATGTTTAGCTCTGTGATTTAAAATGTACTGGCAACGCACAAGAGGCACAAACTGGGGCTAAACTGAATAAAACACTTCCCAAGAAGCAGAAAAACAAGGCGTTTATCAATTTATCGGTTGTCAGCGTTTAACCGAGCGAGAGCCGCGCCAACATTGTGTGTAACTAAAAACTGGGAGGAGGCCATGAGACGCAGCAAGAAAAATCCACAATTCAGAGCAGGCTTGGCATGGCCAGCTGGTCTATCTCTGCATCTCTGGACTGAGTCATGCCTCACTATCAGCAGGACACATGACGACTGGTCCCTGTCTGCCTACTAGCATGTGTTACTACTCGGAAGAGCCAGAAGTATCTGCCTTACAGGGCCTCTGGGATGTTACCTAATGTTATTGTAGCTATTTGTAGCATTTATAAGCTTCCATGCTGCCCTAGAATGGGAACCCGGTGTCCTGTAAGTATCGAAGCAGCTGTTTATGAGCAGTGAAAGAACAATAGGCTAATCCATGAGTGACTTTTTGACCTCAGATCATTTTTTATTCAGTGATGATGCTCTACGAGTTCAGATTAAATGGCATTTTATTGTTGCGGCATGTCAGAAGCTCCTTTATTCCATCTTCTGCTTGAGTCCTGCTTTAGTGCCTGTAAAAGCTTTAGATGACAGCAGGGTCAGACGGGGCTGATGGGAAGGAAACACCTTGGTTATATAGAGTAAGTTAGAGCCTCTGGGCCAATCAGGGCACATCTTGGTCCCCTGCCATTGCCGGCGGTCGGGGTGTGGTCTCTTCCCAAAAAAGTCCTGTCACACACACTCTGCCAGGGTCGTCTGTCTTGTTCCAGCTCATGCTTTGGTTTCCTGTCCGTGTCACTTAGTCACTTTCCTTTTTTATTCATTCCCACTTCCACACTGTTTTTCCCTGCCCCTTAAACCAATCTCGCTCTCTCTGTATCTATCTCCTGTTTTGATCCCCCCTCTTCTCACTTCTCTCATCTTATCATTACTGTTGTTCACAGTTGTCTGTATCTGTAGCCAATCTCCATCTCTTTAAGCTCTGGGCCTCGATTACTAACTCCATCTCTCTTTCTGTGCGTCTCTAGATGGGTTTGAGGTTTTGCTGTGAAATGTGTGGGTGGGAAAAAAAAGTCTTTTCTGTGCAGAAAAATGATAACCTATCATTTTTCAGTCTTGGTTCTCAGCCTGTCGAGATGGATTTGCTCCCAGCAGTGTCACTGAGTGTCTCTAGAAATGTTTTTTTATAGTGTCTTAAGGTCTCAGTGGGGCCATGCTGCAGGCACAACCCTGTGGCTTGCCCCTCTGCCTGTCTCTATCCCCATTGAGTTTTCCGTCTATTTTTCAGCTCCTCTCCCAATTTTCTGACACCTCTCACCTTGCCACTTCAGAGCAGAAGGTGAAGAACATTCTGTGCACGTTTGTCATCTTTCTCAGCCTCCTCCACTGTCAAAATCCTCCCGGCGAAGACAGACAGAGCAATTATGAAAAAAAAAAAGCTTGTTAAGTGGCTCTCATACACTAAACCCAAAAAACTAAAGCAAGGGGATTTTGAAGTCACCACTTAGACATGTTACATCACTGAGAGATTTTAGATGAGTTTGACACGAGTCAAGTGTACAGAAGTCACCACTGTGATACAAGAACAGATAAATAATTTAGGTCATTCATAACAAACCAGTTACATGTCTTTAATGTGAAAAACAGCAGAATCTCAACGTTGGTTTGTATTATTTTAGGTCAGATTTTAGCTCAAAGTGATCTAAATGATATATGATGTCATGACTGAAGGACTGAAGGACTGAAGGACTGTATGACGGTTTGATTTTCACAGCGATATATAAAAGCTCATTATCGGCACGAATAAAAGTTAGGGCATGATAAAAAAAAAAATCCTCAAGGTAAGCCAAAATCTTGACTTACAAAGGCTGCGTTGAGGTTGAGACTGACAGGCAGAGAAACAGAAGTGCTATGCAATTGTTATTATGGATTTTGCTCAGTGCTTCAAGTTGCTGTACTCTATTAGGTGCACCCTCTCTTGTTAATACCGCCACTCACTCACCAAACAACAGCAGTGGTGATGCTAGTCATGTCACGTTTTTATGTCGTCATCAATTCCATCCATTTTCAGCAGCTTATCCAGGGGCAGCAGGCTGAACAAAGATTTTCAGACATCCCTCACCCCAGCAACACTTTCCAGCTCTTCATGGAGGACCCTGAGGTGTTCCCAGGCCAGACGAGATATGTCATCCCTCCAGCAAGTTCTGGGTCTGCCCCAGGGCCTGCTACCAGTTAGAAGTGCCCGGAACACCTCTAACAGGAGGCGCCCAGGAGGCATCCTGATCAGATGCCCGAACCACCCCAACTGACCCCTTTTGACGCGAAGGAGCTGCGGCTCTACTTCGAGCTCCCTCCAGATGTCCGAACTCCTTACCCTATCTCAAAGGCTGAGCCCAGCCACCTCATGGAGGAAACTCATTTCAGCTGCTTGTATCAGCGATCTCATTCTTTTGGTCATTACCCGTAGCTCATGACCATAGGTGAAGCGGTAAATCAAAAGCTTTGCCTTGCATCTCAGCTCCGTCTTCACCACAACGGTCTGGCACAGCACCCACATCACTGCAGAGGCCGCGCCACATGTTGTTCACGAGTGTAGTTTATGATGTAGAAAAAAATGCGAACGTCTCTCAAGCTTGTGTTGACGATGGACCTCATTTCAGGCGTCTAACCAAAAACCTATTTAAAAAAACAGACTTTGAGACGAGAGAATTGGAGGTGCTAGAACGCTATCTCATTTCCGGGTTTTGGGACTTACTCCTGCACTACTCTATTTAATGTCATCAGAAGCAGAGGGGGACATACTTGGTCAGATACTGAATTTGTGACACTAATCTTGGGTGTTCACAATGACACTGTGCTGATTGTATAGATCTTCTGTGCTGTCAGGTTGAGGATGTGTTTAAAGCATCCATGTTTTGAATATGAAGCTTTTTTACAGCTACATCCATGTTGAAGCCTTGTCAGCTGTCATGGCTGTGTATGAGTCTGGACGGACATGGATGTAAACTGTACCTACAACTTGACTGGTGTGCAGAGGCATACAACCGCGAAGCTGTAATTCTACTTTGCAAATAAAATGCGTGGAGATTTTAAAAAAAGGAGAAAAAAAGGGTTGAGTGTTTGAGGTTGTTTCTGATGGGACAGCTTTTGATACATCTCTGTCTGAGTGTCAGATTACACTTAATTACACTTGGTGTCACGTCAAGAGCTAAGTCTGGGATGAGGGTTATGTACTGTGTGTATGAAAAAAAAAGGATTACAAGGAAAAGGTCTAAAAATACTCGTACTGTACATACACACACACTCTGCATATGTCCTGAAAATATTTGGCTTAATCTGATTTATACTTTTGTCTGAGAGTCTACAGAATAAAAAACCGAACAGATGGATTTCTTCAAAGTTAGATTTGGGGAGAATGATGACAAAGAAAAGCGATTAACTATTTCACATGTGGTTACGAGTAAGAACATAACTGCCTACCAAGGGAAGCCTTTGGTGTAATTGCCAAAGTAGAAGATTTGCTGGTAAATAACAGGTTGCCTTTCATCCAGTCTGCTCTTGCAACAGCTTGCAGACATTCATGGGGGGTGACGTTGCAAGGCATGATGGGGCTGCAGCCAAACGGCACAACAGGCAGAGCTTGCACACAGAGAAATTGCCAACTCTTTTGTATTTCTTCTGAAGTTATGGGAGCTTTTTGAAACCCTATAATGATGCCTTTGGCCAGGCTATGCTTTGTTTATGCCCAGTGGGATCTCACTGAAAATGAGCATAGGCAGCCTTTTAAGGCTCAAACAAAAGAACTATACTTGCCAACATCAGATTAGTTCAGAACGCCATACTTAGCTTACATTCTGTGATCGGAGCAAACCTCTGTGAGGGAAGAAAAGGAAACGCTGTATAATGTATATTTCATGTTGTTAACTGCTAAATGGGACAAAAGAGATCTGTCTCTGGCACAGAGGGAGGCATTGAGAAGTCGATATAAAACCCTCGGGCCATGTGGGTTATGCTTGGCAAAGGAATGCATCGTATATGCAAGCACTCATGCACACACTCGCATACCTCCTAGGCCTTTCCGAACCCCCAACCCACAAACACACACACATTTGTAGGCAGAAAAACTCAAGAAAAATAGACTCCAATTTAATTAAGTTCCAGCAATAGCCACAGGGGCACAAATCTGAACTTGGACAATGGAATGTACACTTCTTTACAGATAAAATCTAGTCCATCTATACAGACAAGCAACAATCTTCAGACACACACAAGGTCCACACTGTGTAGTACTATTTCGGAGCTCACACAGAATTGAAAGCATGTGGTAACAGTCTTCAGTGGGATTGTACCAGTGTGACCTTTCAGTTTGTTGGCATTTCAGTGAATTGGCAACTTGTTACAGATGATAATTAAGCAGAACAGTGATTCTCAGAGGGTGGTTTAACTGTGTGTAGTTCGCAACCAAAGACAGCAGCTTCTTCTAGCTGGATGAAGGCGTGCTGGTCAGTAAAACCACCTGCAACAAACTAATTCCAACAGAAACTGGTGTGGCTGAATATTATGCAGTTACTTCATTAAAGAGGTCTTTAAGTTCAGAGCATGGTAAACATTTTCACACTTATGAGAAAAGCAGAAATCACCCATCAGATGGTTCATTCCTAATTTCCTGGAGCACATATCTGATCTGAAAGCAATGACACTGTGTAAGACCATGTGAAAACACTGCTGCATTATCACTGATGTTGGGATCATGTCAGCTGGAAACAAAAAAAAAAAAAGAGGGCGCCAGTTCACACATTTCAAACATCCTAAACAAGAACAATTTAGTGACTCCGGCATCACAAGTGCAGACACTAGGCTGTGTGTGAAGTTAGTCCGTGCATCTTTTCCAGTCTCTCAAAAGTTTCTACATAGTCTCTCTCCAAATTCTACATCTTTAAGCCCTTTTTCCGCAGGTCCTCTCTGGCTTCTTTTATCTGCTCCTGCAATTCTTTAGCCGCCTCCTCACAGTCATTGAAGGTGGCCACCCTGTATCCCACCGTAGCCAGCGAGTAGCAGCCAAATGACACCAGCAGGTACAGAGGCATCGGCCAGGCAACCTCTCTGTAAGTCTGCGGCAGGCTCAGATCCAACAGGTCGAAAGAGACCAAAGCCCAGACTGCGCCCACCACCGACACACCGAACAGCCACTCCAGAAGTTTTGTCATGATGAGAGCTGCCGCGAGGACTTCAGGTGAGCAGCCGGAAAACAACCTGAGGGAGAAACGAACGGTTAAAACGCTGTTTATTCAGTTAGCTTAGCTTTAGCACACTAAAGTAGCACCGTGTTAGCTATATAGCTACACACGCGAGTAAGACAAACAAGGGGTTGGATAATAGAAATAAAACAGTCGGACGAAAGATATGGACTCGTTTAAATTATTAATTCATTTAAATAGCGTTAAATTCATTTAAAAGATTAACAAGAAATAATCCGCTGTGTTTACCTCCTCTCTAACGCCAACTCAGCTCTGCGCGGAATGATGACGTAACCGCAACGCTTTATGGGAAATGTAGTCATTCAGATATTCTATCAAATCCACTGAATGATTGATTTATTTTGTTGTTAAATCTTATAAATTTGACACTTTTCTCAAATTAGTTATTCACAAGCATAAAAGGATATTGAAATATATTGAAATATTTATTAGTATTGATATTTACATCCCAAATCTTAAAATGCTACTTGAAATATTACTTTACAGTATAATTTGCACACTTCTTGCACTATATCCACCTCACACATGTATATATGTACATGATGTATGTGAAGTCTCCACTTTTTTTAGATAGATAGATAGATATCTATCTATCTATCTATCTATCTATCTATCTATCTATCTGTCATTTCTTTATACTTTTTTTGCATGTAAACCCTGAACTGCCTATCTACATATTACGTAATTGATGTTATCATTGTTGTACCGATACTATACTTACACTATAGTCTATATGTCCTGTTGTGTTGTAGTTATCGACCACTATTAAGGAGGAGTGGGAAGACAGCGGTCAGAAAGATTAATTACTACATTCCCTCATTAAACTTCTCAATAAATCTCAATGTTGTCGCTGTCTATGTTTTCATTAAAACATTGCCCTAGACTGTTGCCTGATGTATTAACAACAGCAGCACCCTGTCAGCTGAAAGACAGAAAACAATTTGTTTCAACTGACTCTATAATGAGCCCCCCAGTCAGGCTTTTACCACACATTAGACCTTTAACTGTTTCCCTGTTCCATCCTCTTAATTTAGAAAAGCCATTTTGAAAATTAGTTTACCATTAGCACTAGCTGAAAGCTATCCATAAATACTAATGTTATTCCAAAGCGAGGTATTCAGCAACAATTTCATTAGGTTGCCTCCGGGAGCACACTGCTGTTTGATTTCAGTGTCTCTTTAGGAGCTGTGGGACACATCCGTTCATTTAGGGTGGTGAACTGTCCAGGTGCAGAGGGCACAGACCTCTCCAGGGTGAAATCAGGAGGAGTGGGAGATGTAAACATTATGCAGTTAGCTGGGGAGAGGGACACACCGAAGAGCCAGTGAGAAATAAACATCATTCTTTGGGGAAAAATGGAGAGTTATTCTTAGGTAGGGTAGTGTTTATGTTTGTCTGCACCAGTGTTAATGGCGAAAGTGACGATCTGCACGTCTGCCAGAGGGGTAAAGCCTGTTTCTTCTGTTTATGGAGACTGTTATGTGCAAGACTGGAAGATAGTCAGGGTTTATGTCTGTTTGCAGAGACATAAATCTTAAAATTCTGAAATCAACAATTATCTTTCCAAGTCTGCAGTGTAGTTCTAGGATGCTTTATCTTCTTAATGGCTTTGTGGCTAAGTAAAACAGCAATGATGCATATGCTATGACCTAAATGTCTGCTCATGTTTATAATGTTTGATTTTCCTAAAAGGAGCTACAGTACAAAGAGCTGCAACTGATGTTTACATCCATTATTGATTAATATATTGACTATGTTTTATTAAGCTTTTGATAGTTTATTAATTTGATTAGTAAAATCTCAGAAAATGTATTTTTCACTGCCCCAAGGTAAAATCTTCACATTCACATAAATCCAATTCAAAGATATTCCATTTACATTGTAACCTGTAAATGTAAGGCATACTTTTGCTTTAGGGGATTGAGTGGCTAGAGGTGAGGATTGCACATTGCAACCAGCTGAAACTTCTCAGAATTCTTTTAGTGTTCATTGCTCAGGAGTTTTTTACTGTGTGCCCAATTATCCGCAGATGTCTCTTCCTCTCCAAAGCAAACAGGCTAGGTGATTAAATTGCAGCAGAAACAGTGAGTAAAACAGTTTAATGTTACAAATCAGTGTTTCTCCAATGCTGTTTGACACATCGCAGCCCCTGCTAATGTATACTCACCTTTTTTCCCTGATAGCGTAATGTGTGCTCACCTAATTTCTGATTCAGACATTCAGGAGGTTTTTACCAGGAGCCACATTATCTGCAGAGCTTTCCTCCTCTCTTTAACAAATGTACTGGGCGATTTAAACTGGTAAAAGCACTGAATTTTCATGTCAAAACGTGTGTTTTTCAATTTTTCTCATCACTGAGGGGCTGTGAACTACAGTGGCTGAATGTGAATGGCCCCAGAGCCAATGTTTGCTTTGTCTGTTCTGGACCACATGGCAGTGCAACATGGAAATCTCCATAGATGAGGACCTGCTCCCTAAACAATTCATTAAGGTAACGAAAACACAGTTCTTATTTTCAGGTGATTATACACTAAAGAAAACATACTTATTATATTACACCATTTCTGCCAATATGTCCCCCTAAATCCTACACACGGGACCGTTAAATTAATTGATTATCCAAATTTTGCCCCCTAATTTCATATCAGTCCTATAATTTTATGCCTTTATGCAACCTTGTTCATGTAAGAAATAAATGGTAAATCAAATACTACTACTTTTGAATCAGATCAAAACAGCCTGGAACTACCTGCTACACTTAATAAGATGTGATATGACACATATCAGACTGTGAAGGTCAGGTTACTCCATCGCATCAATAGATTAAACTGAATCCAGGTGGGATTACCTGTGACATGCTGCATCATTACATACATCATAGCGTGTGCTGTATCCTGCCTGTGTTGCATCGTTATGAGCAGCAGTGTGAGCGCGAGTGACGCTCAGTGGGAACAGTCGAGCTGGCTTTTCTCAGTGAGTCTCCCTGCCAGCTCCTGTTCCGTTCCAGTACTCAGGAAACCTGTGCTCCAGCCGAGAAGGCCTGGCAGACACAACACAACAGCCTGTGAGCGGGAGGGGCTTTGAAACAGAGAGAATGGGAGAGAGACACAGAGATAGAGAAAGATTGAGAGAGAGGGGGGAGATGCAGAATGAGACAGAAAAGGAGACAGGGATGTAGGGAACCAGAGTGAGAGAGAGGGGTGAAGCAGTGGCAGCAGTTACTTTCGATAAAGGACCAGAAAAGGGGGGGGGGGGGGGGGAGGATTTCATAGCTGACAGGGCAAGAGCGAGAAAGCTGAGAGGGCCAGGACTGAAAAGAAAGGGTGACTGAGTATGACTGAGTATGTGGAGGAAAGAGGAGAGGGCAACAGAGAGAAGAGGAGAGGAGGGAGCAGACAGGGGAGAGAGGTTTAGACAGGGGGGTGAAATCAGGGGATTTGCAGGTGCAGCTTGAACAACCAATGACCTTAATGGTGCATTAAATCCAGCTGTTGCTTATCCAGACTTTTCTTCAATCCCCCTAACACCTTCATAGACTGCATGCAGCACCTCGGTTCCCACAATGGGGAGTGAATAAAGCAGCATAGGATGAAGGAATGAGGAAAAAAGCATGAAGCGAGTGTGTGCGACGGATCGGCAGAGACAGAGCGATGGCAGAGGAGGCACTTGATCCTCAAGTGCAGAAATAGGAGTGACTGTGTGACTCCATCCAGGGAGCAAAGATAAGAGGCATAGATAAAACAGGAAAAGTGGTAATGGAGAGTTGTGTTGACTCTATCTCTCTGGCTTTGTCAATATTAGTAGAGTGAAAGGTCCAGATAAGAATGTGTGCAACCAAAGAGCTATATAGGGAGCAAGATTTGGCTAGATAATAATTGTGTAATATCTCAAGTGTGTGAAGCAAGAGCTGGGGAGGCAGAGAAAACCAGCGAGGAGAGGGAGAGAGCATGTACTGTCAAAATGCTGGTTAAGATAACAATAGAGCTTGGACTCAAAAACAGGAACCCTCTGTTTCCTGAGCTGGAGACCGTGGCTGCGTGTTATGTTGTCATAAGATGTGTGTGTGTGTAGGTGTGTTTGGGAAAAGGAAAGAGTGACTAAAAGTGCGTCACAATGTCCACGTACCAGGGATAATGCTGGTGAAAGAGCAAGAACCAAAGCTGTGTTCAAGACCAACTTAATCGAGTCCAAGACCAAGTCCAGAGCAAATCATGTCCTGTTCAAGACAAAAACAGGCAATAGTGTCTTCCCAATGCTGATATAGTGATTAAGGAATTGGGATGGACAGAGGAAAATATATAATCTCTATAATATCTCACTGGAAACAAATCTAAAATGTCAATAAAACAAATAATTTTCCTGACATCACGATACTGAGTGAAGTTTAGAAAGAATGAGGAACACAGACATCAGTCAATATCAATGTCCTCTGTCCTCCTCCCTCTGCTCCTAATGCGATTCACTGCCTGCAGGTACTGCTGGTACAGGCAGGAGGGAATAGTTTGTCTCAGCCAGCAGCTAAGTTTACAAGAATTCACTTAATTGTGGCCAACTAAGCTAAACAGTTAAAGCATAGACATATACCTAGATGCTGCATTGAGTGCATCAGAACACTGCTGCAATACGTGTTTGTTACAAATCTCTATTTACCAAGATATAAAACACAGCACACCATTTGACATCTGTGTAAGATGCAAAAGGCATTCCACCATGTTGCTCCACGTCGTTATGAGACGCTCAGAGAAACGGATGCATCTTAAAGAACATGAAAGTCTGGATTAGAGGGAGGGATTAGAAGTGGATGGTCTCAACAAACACTGGACTTTGACCCAGTAGAGGGGTGCGTAAGACCAACAATCAACAACAATGGTTGCGGCGTTTGTGCCACTCAAAGCTGGGTGTTTTCTTGTTAGCCTTACCAGCTACATTTGGGATATTCAAAACCGGTGTTCTGCCTTTCCAGCTGTGTTTGTATCATTCAATAACAGTGTTTTGTAGCTACACACCACTGCCTTTCCAGCTGCGTTTGTATCATTCAATAATAGTGTTTTGTAGCTACACACCACTGCCTTTCCAGCTGTGTTTTTATCATTCAATAACAGTGTTTTGTAGCAACACGCCACTGCCTTTCCGGCTGCGTTTGTATCATTCAATAACAGTGTTTTGTAGCAACACACCACTGCCTTTCTGGCTGTGTATGTGTCATTCAGTAACAGTGTTTTGTAGCTACAGGCCACTGCCTTTCGAGCTGCATTTGTATCATTCAATAA